TAATAAGAGCTCAGAGAACCAAAGGGTTTCATGGTACCTGTAAGTGACTTATTAGTGTAATTTCTGTCCTGTCCTTTGTAGTGGCTGTGTTATCTGTAACACAGTAGTAGCATTTAACAGCTAAGTTTACCCTGTAACAATAAACCTGTAACTCTTTAAGTTTTAACCTGACTCCTTCAGTTGCTGTAACAGAACCAAGCACAATTTAAAAGAACTTCAGCCGGTCATAAGGGATAGATATAGGAAGAGCTTGGGCGTTTGGATTGTGTCACTCCTAGGTGACAGATCCGTTGGGGCATCTCTCAGTCTTTCCTAGACTGCCTGCTGCAAAGGGATCCTATATTCTAGCAGCTAAAATCTGAGATGTAATAGGCTCTTCCTATAAACCCAGGGCATCTGTCAGCCTGTTGGCTGCCTTCTGTGACGGGACCCCGGTCCTAGCAGTAAAGTCACGGACATTTTTTTTCTCGGTAACACACACACACACACCACTCACTGCCCTGACTGTCGCCTGACATGCCTACACCAGGTGTTAGGTTGGGATAATTGCATCAGTTGGGGTGTGGATTACCCATATCCCTGAGCAATATAGTTATGCTGATGTAAGTTTGTAACGTACACCAGGCCTAGCTTGTGGGTTTTTTAAATTTTTTTAAACAAGTGCTGCTTAACTCACACTGGAAACTAGGGATTTTAAATTTAGTTTAATCAATTAGTTGACTAGTCAATGGATTTTCCATCAATTAGTGGGGGAGTCGCAGGGGGGTTAGCTCCTGGCCCAGGAGTTAACCCTGCTGCAGCTCTGCCTTTTAAAAGTATTAAGAGCCTGTTGACTTTTAATACACTTAAAAGGCTAAAGCACAGCAGGGGGGACCTAGCGCCAGCCAGGAATCAGCTTTCCCAGCTTGCGCCAGGTCCCCCGCACTGTGCTTCTGATTTTTAAAAGTATTAAGAGCTGAAAGGCTTTTAATACATTTAAAAAGCAGAGGCAGCATCTAAGACTGGGCACCAGCCGGGAATCAGCTGATTCCTGGCTGGCACTGGGTCCTTCCTTCTGCGCTTTAGCCTTTTAAATGTATTAAAAGTCAGCTGGTCCCCACTACCCCCTACCTGCCCTGACCCTCCCCCTCTCCGTCGCCTGCAAAGATGGGGCTACGGGAAACCGACTTTGAAGCCGGCTCCTCCCAGGACTGGCTCCTGATAGAGGCAGCAAGGGAGGGAAGGGGGAGTGACTAGTTGAGGGATTAGTCGACTGTCCAATAAGCTTTTGCTTATCCGATAGTCATCTAGTCACTTACATCCCTATTGGAAACATGATTACAAGAAATTTAGAATATTTTGCATGTCTGAAGAAATCTTTTTACTAGGTGTATTGACCACTAAAGAACTTGGCCACCACTAAAATGGCAAAAGCTAGAAATGGCTATTCTGTCTAGAGTAACAGAATTTAAAATTGATGAGGTGGGCAAGATAGTATCTTTTATTGGACCAACTTTTGTTTGCTAAGGAGACAATCTTTCATGCTACACAAAGTGATTCTTCAGATTTGAGGAAGTTATTCAGATCTGGCATATGCTCGAAAATTAGGTCAGTTTAGTGATCAGCAGTGTGAAAAATTCACATCCATGCCTGGTCTAGTTAAGTTGACCTAAATACCCATGTGGATAGCACTATGTGAGTGGAAGAATTATTCTGTCAACCTAGGGACAAACCTCTCTGAGAGGAGTATTATCTAGGCTTATGGAAGAATCCCCCGTCAGAGCCATCTCACCCATAGGATGGTGATGGGCAGCCCCCACCAGGATCAGGGCAGGCTGGGACATTACCTAGGGTCTGGATTGAAGGGGCAGTAGGGGTCACGCACCCCCTACACTCACCACAGCAGAGGGAGCCAGACCAATCCAGCAGCCTGCTCCCCACTGCTGCCATCTCCCAGCCTGCTGAGCTCATCTTCACCACGGCAGCAGGAAGCAGAGTGACCTTGTCCCAGCTCCAAGGCTCTTTAATTCCTGCCCCTGCGGTGAAGCAGAGGGTAGCAGGCAAGGAGATAGGCAGTGAGGTGGAGCACAGCAGGCTGCCAAGCCCCTGCAGGGTTGCAGGGGCTGACCTCTGTTGCCACCCCAAACCAGGCCCTCCCAGTAATCCAATAAGCAGAGGAGGGGTGGGTGCAGGGCCTGCAGCAGAAGGATTGCCCCATACTCCCCTATAGGGATGTGAATGGATAACCAGCTGCCTGGTATGCATCACCCATTAAGCATCACTCTGTTAACTGATACCCAGGAACAGCCTGCTTGTGGTGGAAGGCTGCTCCAACCGAGCAGGGGTCAGGAGCTACTGCCCCCCTCCCATCTTATGTTTGATTCCTGCTACCAGCCACCCCACCCCAAGATCCTGCTTAATCAGTTAACTGAGGAATTTTAAGAGAAATAAGGGATCTTTCAGAAAAGGCTTTATTTTCCGAAAGATCCGTGTCTAGACTGGCGCTTTTTTCCGGCAAAGCTCCGAGCCGGAAAAAAGCGGCAGCCATGTTTATGCAAATGAAGCAGGGGGGATTTAAATCCTCACTTCATTTTCAATTGCGATGTGTCTAATTTACATCCCTTTTACGGAAAAGGGATGAATTCTAGACACAGCCTTAGTGTCTTTATTGTACTGCTATACTGTTTTAAGGGCAGACAAGCCCTCAGAGTGTCTCAGTTAAATATAAGGTAGAAAAGACTGTTAAACATAAGGCATCACATGTTATTAAGAGACCATTCAAGATGAAGTTGGCAATTAACATTTGTGAAATTATTGCACAAAGGAGGGTTAGTTACAGATTGTTGTAATGAGCAGGGCTCGCCAATTGGGAGGTGTCATGCAAGTTTTCTTTAAGGATGAGGACTGAACAACTAGACATAGAACTATGGTTTTGCAGTGTTTGCCTCAGGTAAGAGAGGGTTATCTTTTTCTAATCTATTAGGCAAGCTCATTTGAGAGTGTAGGGATTGTCTGGCTTCAGCTGTCAGAGCAGCTGACACATTTGGTGAAATAGGGAATGAGGGGAGGCAGACCCGCCTCAGTCTCTCTCAGCTGCTGTGGGCTGCAGCTATACAACTGTCAACTATGCACATAGCAGCAACATCCTGAGTAGGATGTACTACAAATAGGGGCACTGGGCATTTTACGTATCCTACACAATATATAATCAATTAGTAAATATTATTAGAACAACCAACTCTTGCTTTGCTATAAAATGGGCTTAGTAAGAACAATTGATGAGAGGGAACAGGCAGGATTGACCCACAAGCCCTGCTCAATATAATTAGAAATAGGCCTTTCATGCCAGCAACCTAGTGCAAGGCGTTCCATTGCGTTGTAAGAAAAGGAACCATGACCTGGTACTGTAGGTAGCATATGAGTGAAGTGTAAGTGAACTAGGCTTTATTATTGTATTATAGCAGATGTTCTATTAATTGCTTTTGCACGGTATTCATTGCTTTAGAATGTATTGACTTTAAGGTTTAAAGTGTATAATAATTGTTTTTCAAGCTTGTAAAACTTAAAACAAGGGTATTAACTGCTTAAAGCTGGCAATTAACAAGACAGTGGTGAAGTAGCCCTGGAGTGTCCTGGTTTTCCTTGGATGTAAAATAAATCAAATCGCACGCTAATCCACACAACAAACTGGCTACCTGTTGGGCCCTGGGGATGTTACAGGGCCACAGCCACGTGCTGGTTGGGCTGCAGGCAGCCTACGGGCTGGGGGGCTGCACCGACATTGCATGGACGCAATAACTAGCGCGTGAATCTACGGCTGCTTCAGGAGATGGTGCCAAACCGCCGGGGACAGGCTCTTCCGCGGGAAGGAGAGTAGCGACGACAGAGGGAAGCAGCGTGTATGGGCCTAGCCCTGTGGGGGGGCAGGAGAGCCCAGCTAGGCGGGAAGGCAGCAGGCACACACAGCCCAGCTCCTGGGAGGGCAGCGCGCCTCTGCCCCCCCCCTTCAATTCACTCTCTTAGAGGGGCAGCGGCG